CTTTCTTTAAGTAGCTGCTACGTAAAACGCAGAATATGTCAATACTAGAACAATAGAATGTCTTCTAATTCGGCTCCTCCAAGAACACAACCTCATCCCTTATTTAGAGTCGATAAAAGTCTTCTCCGCCCAAAAGGCAGCATCAATTCAAACTACCAAACTCCTCGACATAGCCAACATCACGGCAAAACTCCGAAAAGTCACAAAAAACGACCACATCCGAATCATCGCTCGTCTACCTAAATCCCAAAATCCACAACCCAATTCAAACAATTCGTCAATCTTCCACCTAGTCATAGCCGGCGTGGCAAAAACCCTCTCCCAAAAAATCATCAAGGATAATTGATCCGAAAACAATTTTCCATACACCAAAGTGGTTCGAATAATTGCCCGCTCCACCAACCAACCTACCTCAGAGTATTCACTAACTCTGAAATAAAGTTCGCTGAAGCGCTCTCGAACGGTATTTCGATCGAGGGTGAACGGTTGACCTGTGAAATACCACAATCAAGCAATTCCGTGCCCATTCGATCGAAATATTGCTCGAAATGCTGCAAAAGCGGACATTTCAACACAGAATGCCCCGAAAAATCAATCATTTGCTCGTATTGCGGGCTCAGCCACCGGTCCTCTGCCTGCCCCACGATATCTGCTCCCAAATGTCCTAACTGTAACGGTCCTCACCCCGCATTCTCACCACGATCTCCTCACCGTAGCGCTCATCCCGCTAACTACAACCAAACCCAATCAGTATACACAGAGAAACAAATCCCTTCCTATGACCTATCCTCCGATATGAAATCCCTAATCCATTTCACATCCATCCTCCTATTCAACGTCTTCCCTGAAAAGAGAAGCGCAATAATCCTATTCCTGAACCAAATTTCCAATGCAATGTATGGATGTGCCATAGCCACTTCATGCACAAATAACCTCATAAATCAAATCTTTACCCACCTACACATCTAAAAACACATCATACACATCATCACACACACACACACACACACACACACACACACACACACACACACACACACACACACACACACACATGCACTCAACACAACATCCACCCTATACACACTTTACCTCCACCGCTCACGATCTTAATTAATAAACACCTAAATCCCATACCACAATCCAACCAGTAAACACACAATTCCAACCAGTAAACACACAAAAACTCCACAAACATCTTACACATCACCTACACTGTGAGCACCGCACACACTCCTTAAGAGTCGATTAAATATTCACAAGGACAGGGATAGATTGGTTTTCTGTGGTTTCCCAATCTCATTGCACAATGATACCTGATTTTAGGCGAGGATATAGCCACAGCTATCCTCCACGCGTTTTCCAAGATACAAAAAATGGCCAACAATCTGAGTAGAGTATGGGTCGCTTGGGGCACCCCCCTCCACTCCCACTCTGACGTCACACGGTTGCAAATGCCAAACGGCTTAACGTAGGATGACGTACGAGGGCTCGTTGGAAAGGGGATGAAAAATGGGGTTGAATGCAGTATGTGCCATGCGCATCGGAGCATGCCAAAAGGTCATTAGTGGGTATCTTTGTTTCTATTGGTCCGATCGTGACGTACGAGGGCTCGTTGGAAAGGGGATGAAAAATGGAGATGAATGAAATATGTACCGTGCGCATCGGAGCATGCCAAAAGGACATTATGGGGTATCTTCGTTTCTATTGGTCCGATTGTGACGTACGAGGGCTCGATGGAAAGGGGATGAAAAATGGGGTTGAACGCAGTATGTGCCGTGCGCATCAAAGCATGCCGAAAGGGCATTATGGGGTATCTTCGTTTCTATTGGTCCGATCGTGACGTACGAGGGCTCGTTGGAAAGGAGATGCAAAATGGGGTTGAATGAAATATGTACCGTGCGCATCGGAGCATGCCATTCAACCCCATTTTTCATCCCCTTTCCAACGAGTCCTCGTACGTCATCCTACGTTAAGCCGTTTGGCATTTGCAACCGTGTGACGTCAGAGTGGAAGTGGAGGGGGGTGCCCCAAGCGACCCATACTCTACTAATCTGAAAGAAATCGTTTTTTTTTCCACTGAACTTGTACTTCGTGACAGGTTTGGTTCACTAGGCTAACTCTTCCGGAAGATCCGTTTTCCACCTCTTCCCTTCTTCTTGTTTTCGGTATCCCTTCCTATCCCTCTTCCGAAACACTTCTTTAGCGGCGGCGCCCCTAGTCTTGGGAATCCGAGGTCGTATGACCGAAAACCAGCATTCAAACCAAACAAGCATAAGCACCCAAATAAATAAACCCATCCTTGAAGAAGCATAGAGCTTAAAACAAGGTAAAAACGAGATGACTTGATGAATATGTAAAAATTTCGAACGATAACTGTTGCAGTTTTGCAACTTTTCAGAAACTAAGAAAAGAATATTAAAGGGAAATTATTTCTAATTCGTATCAAGCCACTCCATCGAGCGCCTACTCGATGTCCGTAGTACAAATCAGAGGAGAAGAAAAATCACCATTTGCTTTAAGAGTTAAGCGTTGGCGCTAGTTGTCGCCCTCGTTTAGACTTCCGAGTTGAGGAGATCGAATGTATCCCCGAAAATCGACATCTACTTTATCTTGCTCCTAATTGCCGGAGGAGGCAGTGTGCTCTACGCTAGGGGTAACTTCTGATTTCATCCCACGTGGGGTAAAGATATTAAGATTTTATTATACTTTTTTAAAATTAATACATTATTATACAATTATTCGTTGAGACTTTAAAACTGTTTTTACTGAACTATGTTACAAAATTTGGCGAGTTTTAAATATTCTAGCCGTTTAAGAATATTTTGCGTCCATTTACAAATTATTAACTTTATCATTATTTTTGTTATGTTTTAGATTATTTGAATAAAATTTGAGTTTTCAGAAAAAATCATCTCTTCGTACTTTTATGGTTTAGTAGAAAAAGCGTGACATAAAAACAGCAAAATAAATCAAAGCTTAAAATGCAAAAGTGTGGGTAACTGTAAGAGAAGAAAACAGTGCATATCCTAATATAAGTGCGTATCTCAAAATCAAATTTTTGAGCGTGTTTTTGTTTTTATAAATAATTTTAAGGAGTATTTTGCTATTAACTTATTTACTCTAGTCTACTTCTTATATTTCATCTGATTGCTCTATCTTGTCTTGAAAAATATTGACCAAGATGGTTTTATATTACAAATAATTAATTATTTGTAAAGGTTCTGTCAATTGTAAATTGTGTTTTTTTATAAGAAGGCTGTTTTATGTAACAAGACCCTTAAAAAATGCATAACCAATAACTGGTAGTAAAGTGTTAATATGTACTATGATATGAAGATAAAAATAAATCACATAAAAATCTTTGTTTTTGTTTTTACTTGTCACATATTTCCGTCAAATCCGCGTTATAAATCATAAGAGTGATTCTATTAAAATTTTTTAAAAAATACTTTATAAAAGGTATGTAATTAAAATACCCTGTCGGGCTACATCAAAGAACATTTTCGGACTAAAAAGTCCATCATCAGTGTAATATTACATGGAATAAGTATTACCACTTTAGTGAAAGCAAACATAAAGTTTAATTTTGACTAAGTTTCAAAAAAGCAATATGGTTAAATACTTATTAGGTATATATGAGTGAAGCTATTAAATATCTGGGTAAAAACCCTTAAAAAGTTTGTTTTTTTTACATTATTGTAAAAAATTGTTGTAATCTTGAAGTTTTTAACAGATATCTTGCATAAAATTAGTATTGTTTATAATTACATTTGGGTGTCTCAAGCAGTGGCTACAATTTGTTTCATTTGTTGTTGTCTGTACAAATTATGTAAGTTATACAATAATTTTACTAATTGAAAATTGTATTGTTCTGTTTTTTTTATTATATTTGTTTTTGTTTTATACTTTTTGTACTTTTTGTACAAAATTGTTCAATAATTTTCAGTGACAATAAAGCATATTTGATGTATAATTGTATAATTGAATATGCTGAGAAATTTTAAATTTATTGTTTCTTATAACAGTAGCAAACATCAATATGTTGAGGTTAAAGTGTGGTATACCCTGAAACTCTTGTTAAACCTTGTGATGAGAATATTGTATGTATGGAAAGATTTTAAAATTTTTTGAATATAAAGTAGGCTAACATCAATACATGTACCTAGTGGACAACGGCAATAGAAATATTGATAGTGTTTTTATGTTGTAAATTAATATTTGATACCTTGGAAGTAAATGGGAGATGCATGTATGATGTTGAGTTATTAACTGACAAATACAGACGGTTGAACTGTTTAAAAAACGAAACACAAATAGTAGATGGTAGTAAGAAACAACCAATTTTTGGTAGTGATCAATTCCCGGTAGTGTTTCGTATACACAACCCACAACAGATAACCAACCTTTCACAATAAAGTTTGATATAGATCTGGTAATCGAAAAAGAAACCAGGAGAATGGAGTCTAGGCTTGATATCTTCATTGCACAAAAAGGAAAACCAACTGGAATGTGATGAGGATCGAGGACTAACACTTCTGGAAAATTTTATAAAACATTTTGTATGCTGGATTTAAGTTCTACACCAAAGCTTGTCTGGAAGAATATTAACCAGATCATTTGACCTACAAATCTTTACAAAGGTGGATCTTTACATTTTTGCACTCAGTGAAGTAAGTAGAGGAAGTAAGGGATTAAATGAGGGATTGAATGATCAAATACATGATTCTTCGTATCTAGTTAAAGTTAAATATGATTTTGATAATCTTCACCGAAGATTAGAGGCTGGTAATGAATAGAATTAGTTTATTCATTATAGCATTGAAAAAGTTTATAAGGAAATAATTGTCATAGTACACTTTGTTTTAATTATCACATAACTCATAAGCCTTACTACACATGCAAACTTGTAAATTGAACCATCTTAGTACTTAGTACATGACAAGAAAAGACAGAGCAACTCCATTCAACTACATTTATGTAACTAAAACGTTCGTTACCTGTTATCGTCAGACGCAGGGCTATTACTGTGACTGTGCGAATGAGTTGTGCCATTATCTGGACAACTATTGCACACAGAGTCTTCCGAACGGGACCGGCCGATAAGTCGAGACACTTTGCCAGATTTAGCTGCTTCGATTAGTGTGCCCCAGCGCCTTTTGTGCAACTGACTTCGTTTTAAATTTAGCCTAGAAATTTTATTTATTGTATACAAAAGAGAAGGTGTTAAGTGACAAAAATATGTAATTATTAAAGCTACTACTTTATTTAGGAATGTAGGAATATTTAGGAACGCAAATATAAAAGAATTATGATATATAAAACTGTAAAATCTTGGATTTTTTAATATACTTGTTCGTTATGATCTATTCATTCTTGTTACTATTTTTGTTTTAGTTCAGAAAAAATAAAACTATATCAAAATATTATAAATAATACAGCACAAAATACGAAACGCTATTTTTGCATCAATATATAATAAATTTGGTCAAATTAAATCAATAACGTATCATACCTACCACTAGGTGGTAGTGTGGTGGGGTGTAAGGTTGTGTTATAGAGGTAGTTCCTTTTATTGGAACGACCACATCGAGAGTCATAGACGGGAGATGGTTCTAGATAACTGGTCCTCATAAGACACCTAACTCTCACTTATGGCTCCTCGTGCCACACCCCGGGCAACTGCATTGGTCTGCAGGCCAAACTAAGTGAGGGTAACCAGGAGTTTTCTGACCCGGAAAACTAGTACCTGCTTAGGGTCCCTTGTCCAGGGTCACGGATGAAGACCACAACGGTATCCACGGTGAAGAAGAACATCTTCGGTACGGTGTGTATGGCGGAAATGGCACCCCATTCTTAGGGTTAGTATAAAATTAAATGTAGCGTCTGATCCAGAATGGACGGTTACAAACAGCATCTGACCCAGAATGCGTGGTGTTTTAACTGCCATTACCCCCCCCCACTTTTATCATGGCGAATAATAAAACAAAAGGAAATGGTCCCCAGGTGGGTAAGAAAATTTCTGAAACCCGCACCTCAAAGGTCTGCCTCACGGTATCTGGGGGAGGCAATAATTCGCTTTTGATTGATAAAAACAAAAACCCACACAAACAAGACGAGCACAACATAAATCAAAAAAAGCCGTCAACCTGTCAATAGGGACATACAACATTAGATCAATGTCCACAGATGAAAAAGTACATGAACTGGAAGAAGAATTAACAAACATAAAATGGAATATCATAGGCCTATCAGAAACTCGAAGAAAAGAAGAAAACCGAATACAGCTAAAATCTGGTAATCTACTATATTATAAAGGAAATGAAATGAATAGTAAATTTGGAGTAGGATTTATAATAAATAAAGCTATAAGTAAGCACGTCCAAATTATCAAAGGTATATCAGATCGTGTCGCCTATGTCATACTTAAAATAAGAAGAACATCAATTAAAATTATTCAGGTATATGCCCCCACGACAGCTTATGATGAAGAAAATATCGAACTATTTTATGAAGATATATCAAAGGCTATGGAAGTACATAAAAATCATCTTACACTAGTAATGGGAGATTTCAATGCCAAACTGGGTAAAAAACTAAACAAAAAAAAAACTAAAATATAAGATTTCGGGTATGGTCAGAGAAATGATAGAGGTGATACTTTGATGAACTATCTAGAAGAAAAGCATCTATACGCAATAAACTTCTTTTACAAAAAGAAGCCCCAACGAAAGTGGACATGGATCAGCCCTAATGGATCCACAAAAAATGAGATCGACTTCATACTGTCCACGGAACGATATATCATTAAAGATGTAACAGTTCTTAACAGATTCACAACAGGTAGCGATCACAGGATGGTCAGAGCAAATATTAGTATTGACGGTAACTATGAGATGAAAAGAAAAATAAGCAAATCAGAAATAAAGAAGGCATTGAAAGAAATGAAAAACAACGAATTGCCTGGAAAAGATGGAATAACTGCAAAGATGCTGAAATATGGTGGAAAAGTGGTAATTAATACTCTATATTCCCTTTTTAACAAGATATTAAAAGAAAAAAGAATCCCAAACAACAGAAGGAATCAGTAACAATTATCCTACACAAGAAAGGGGATAAAGCAGATATAAAAAACTACCGTCCTATAACACTCCTCAATGTAATGTATAAACTCCTAACAAAAATTTTAACCAATAGATTGACGACAAAATTCGATGGATACCAGTCGAAAGAACAAGCTGGTTTTAGAAAGGGATTCAGCACAAGTGACCATTTACTAAGTATGAAAATACTTATAGACCGAGAAAATGAATACCACATTCCTCTATATATGGCGTTCATAGATTTCGAAAAGGCTTTCGACAGTGTCGAACATTGGGCAGTGAAAAGTTCTTTGATTAACAGCCGAATTGACCACAGATATACGGAACTAATAACCAATATATATAAGGAAGCCAAAACAACAATTAAAGTATATGAAGGAACAAAATCATTACAAATAAGTAGAGGCGTGAGACAGGATGATACAATATCACCAAAACTTTTCAATCAGGCTCTTGAAGATACTTTTAAAAGATTAGAATGGAAAAAAAAGGTATAAAAATTTGTGGACAACGCTTGAACCATCTTTCATCATTGGTCGGGTATGATTAGACCAGTACTAATCGAGTAACGACGAGAAGTAGATCCACCAGGCTTGAGAATGGCAAGTGAGATCTTGCCGAAACGTCGCCAAAACAATGGTTTTCAAGAAAACGATATAAATATCGTTAATCAAAAGTTAAAGTACATAAATACAGCTATACAAACTGCAGGAAAGAAACATCTTACAAAACAACAACAGAGGGTGGTAGAATAAGGGGTGGATGACACAAGATATACTAGACTTGATGGAACAAAGAAGAAAGATGAAGAATTACCTAGACAAATACAAAGAAATAAACAAACACATAAAAAAGAGAATAAAAAAAAGCCAAAGAGGCGTGGATTAAAGAACAATGTAAAGAAATGGAAAACTATGAGAAAAAGTATGATGCGTTCAACATGCTCAAAAAAGTAAAAGAGATAACAGGAAGCATAAAGAAATACCAAATAGGTAAACTTGAAGACAAAGATGGAAATCTTATTGTAGATATAGAGAATAAAATAAAAAGATGGACAGAATACCTGAATGAATTATTTAAAGACGATAGAAACAACTTAACTCAGATAATCAATGCAATTGGGCCAGACATATCGAAAAAAGAAGTAGAATACGCAATAAGAAACGCTAAAAATGGAAAAACAAATGGACCTGATAAAATTCCTACAGAACTGTTGAAGCTTCTGAACATATTACTAAGAGGAAACGAATAAATATCTTCTGATCTTTTCAATTGTTTTCTCTTTCTTTTACCTTCGGCTAACTTTAGCCAAAGATAAAGTGGTTATTTAAAGATAGAATAAAAAATAAAAATTATAAATATTTATTAAAGTATGTAAGTGGGTAGATGATATTTTAAAATTAACATTATTTACCACACATTTTCGGTACACAAGTTTAAGACTATTTCTATACTATAATCCACCGTTTTTGATATTGAGTTGAATTTGAGGTTATATTTACTCCAAGCAATACCAAAAACAAAGTTTCTAAGCTTTAAGCTAGCTTCGTCCCTAAAATTCATCACTAAACTTTCCTTTCATACTGCAATGTAAAAAAGCAATGTAAGTTTTATTAAATGTCCAAATTGGAACTATTGTGTAGTAGCAATACTTCGCCATTATTTCTTACTTTGTATTCTGTGCTTTCTATTTGTTACAATAGTCTAAGGCAAAGATAAATTATACGAATAATATTAATAAAATAATTCACATACATAACCATTTGTAAAATATTATATTTGATATATTTGAATAAAAAACGAGCTAAACACACTCAAAAATTTTGTAAAATATAGTGATATAGTCAAAGCAGTTTTACCTTGTTTGTAAACATCGCTACAAAAGCTAACATCAATTACACAATACAATACACTCACCTCTTATGATGATTACCGTTGCCTTCATTAATACTTCCTTGAGAGGAAGAAACGGTACTGCCGTGAAGATGTAACTTTCTCTGAGTTGGAGTGAAGATTCCTGATAAAGTTGATCCAAAGAAGTCGTGGTGATGCGCATCACCTTGGTGATGTTGTTGAAGTGAAGCTATGAATTCGGCAACTGGAGGAAGAGAGCCAGTGGTTGAAGGTTGAGGAGCTATGTTAAAGCCCTTCATAAGGCGACGTTCCTTCTGCCTGTTCTTCTTACCCCCCGTTCCTAGAACGAGTACATGACTACTTTAAAGACACAAGGGTTATCAAAAACTTGTATTGGAACTAGTCAGCTTACATAAAAGTCTGCCCTAGCTCCACTTTTTAGATTGTAACTTCAAATTGAAGTGCGATTGCAAAATTTGCAAAACTTGGCTTCTGCTGCACTTAGAACCTTAATTTTTTTAAACTAGGGTAGTTCAACAAAATATTACTGCCGTCCTAACATGAAAATGTTAATTTCCCCAAAAAAGACAAAATGGTTGTAGCGTTATAACTGCTACATTGCCTGCTTTCTTTCTTATGTTAACATATTTCGTTAATTATATTCTCTAATTTCCGTATCTTCTGTCATAATTCATATTCTTCTATATCCTCCATTGTATCTCTTATTTTTCTATAGATTTTCTCGGATATAGATTGTATCAGAATTATGTCGGTACTTAATTGATTCATTATTCTCTTTTCATTTTTACTGGTATTTCGTATAAAAACCAGTTGGCGTCCAAATCTATCTTCTTTATATATATATATATATATATATATATATATATATATATATATATATTAGTATCTACCTTTCCTATTTTCTTAATAATCATCATTTTATCTTTTACTCAAGTTTATAAAGAGTGAATTTTATTTTCATCTCTATTTCCGTTACTTTGGAACGAGAGGTCCCATCTTTATTCTCTGTGACATTTCTCCTTCCCGTTCGATACAAAAGTCCATATAATCGCTTTTATTTCTGAAAAGGTCGATTTTCTTCATGACTTCTCTAAGAGTAGAATAACCAATTGTTGTGTCGTCTCCTGATTAAGGAGTCAACCTCCGGGATACATTTCTCAGGTGCGGGTCAAATTCTATTAACATCCAGAAGACCAACCGGCCTGAGAATGGAACCGTTATTCCAATAGGAGAGTTGACTCCGAGACAAGGAAATCCAAAATTAACAATATGGCTTGCTAACAACCAGAGCAGAAAAGACCAGGATAAAACTTAGGATTTGGTGACAAACATTGTTCTTTCATATACCTAATGTAACACTGTAGCAAGAAGTCGAATAATTTTTATTTAAATTCAATACGATACTTAACATTTATTTTTCTGTTTTTTTTTATATTTTAATAAACATGTGTTAATTTAACTGTGTATTGTTTCTTCTTTTTACTTCTTTGTGTGTGTTGCTCCAGAGTAGGCCATATTCACGTCCTGAGTGGGCTAGCCAGGGAGTGTTTCGTATAACGTCTAATGTAGCAATTTTGTAATTGATACATTAGGGGTTATGATGTTAAAAATTGGTCCCAACGGGAAACGATTTGTCACTCCAACGTTGTTAGTGATGTTAGTCGGGTTGTAGCAGCAAACTAAGGTTTGCGGTTACAGGTTGACAACAGGAGCTCAACGTTGGGATGTTACAAATTGAGCCTCGAAGGGTTACAAATTGGTACCCAATGAATATTTGTTGGCACGTCATGGATTGACGTCCAATAAATGTTCGTTGGAACGTTACAAATTGACGCCCAACGTTACATGGTTGCTTACAACAGCAAACTTACTAGGATGTAAATTGAAGTTGAAAGGTTAGATAATAGACCAAGTGACGGGGTTTAAATATCTAGGCATCACATTATTTAGCTACGGAAAGCTCGAAACTGAAGTGGAAGATCAAGTTAATAGAGAAAACAGTGCCGCATGCCGCCTGAATGAAACAATATGAAGAAATAGAAATATCGGAAAAGAAATGAATGGCAGAATTTACAAAACAGTCATCAGACCAATAATGACATACGCGCCAGAACCAAGACCTGACACAGAGAGTACAAAAAGGATGTTAGAAACAGCAGAGATCAAAACACTTCGAAACATTGATGGAAGGACCCTATGGGACAGAGCTAGAAGATATATGATCTAAATGCAAGGTGAGGTACATCAGGCAAGATAAGAATATCAAGAACTGGGTAAGAAATAGAAGAGTACAATGGAACGGTCATACAAGCCGAATGACAACAAATAGAGTAGTAAAGACGGCAAGGGACGGTTCCTCAATAGTAAGACGATCAGTAGGAAGACCACGAAAACGATGAGGTCAGTAGAAAGACCATGAAAACGACGAAACGACAACTTACTGTAATGTAATAAAATGTAATGTATATGTAATATAAATGATAATAGTTAGATTCGTAACTAGAATCTGACTCACTTCCATTTATGAATTCATTGGATTCAATTTATTATTGTCGAATTCATTGGACGACCCAATTGCATAATCTGGATCATTCTCACTTTTGGCTAAATACCATACGTTTACATTTATCGCTGTTCCGGCTAAGACATGCTGCATTGCTACTACCAGAAAATATAGACGCATGTGCGTGTATAATTACAATCAGTTATTGCTTGTACCTAAGGTAACATTATTAAACTTACCCTTCATCCATTTTTTACAATAGTATATTTACTTAAAATACCAAAAAGCATGAGAATACTCCCAATGTCTGACAATAACAAATACCTTTTATAATACATTATTTGAACTTATGTTACAAACATGCTTATATCATACTACGCCAAAACTGATAACGCTCAGTATAAAATATTAGATTAAATAGTTCCAACTGCCTTTTTGAAGTTAAAACGGACAATTTTTCGTAGTATATGTGAGATAAGACAATTTATGTCAGTGAACATGACTTTTTAGTTAGTTAGGATAAACCATTTTGTACATCGGTACATAGATAATATGTTTACGCATGACGTGAGCCAATAAAGTCATTTTACCAAATTTTGCAGATAGGACCTTTCATGTTAGGGCGAACGCCCACCAAAGTGGCGTGGCAAGTAGCACGTAGCAAGTAGCACGCGTCTAGCATGTTTCTTAAATGTAACCAATGAAAACAAATGATTAGAATGAATGACGTCACTGTCATTTTGGTGTACGCTGAATCATTCGTTTTCATTGGTTACATTTTAAGAAACATGCTAGACGCGTGCTACTTACCACTTGCTACGTGCCACGCCACTTTGGTGGGCGCTCTCACTTAGGACGGCCAAATGAGACTATTTGAGTGCTATTTTCATCTCTCAAAAAATCTCAGAAACATAAATTAACAAAATTTTTTTATAAAAAAAAGTTATTGAATTTTACTATTATTAAATATTTAAATTTTATTTATATTTATTGAAGTGTATAATATTTATATTATACATATATAATAATAACTATTAATTATTAAAATATATTTTATTCTTTTATTTAATTTTATAGATTTTTCTTTTAACAAGTTAATTCATTTAGTGACTAATAATTATAAATATTATTTTTGTAGGTCACTACTCCACCTTTTCGTGGCGGTATTTTATATCATGTTAACGGGTTATAACTTTTTACGTCTTCTCGGCATATTTCATTTATAAAATGGATAATAAAATTTACAACTTCATTTATAATTTGTTCAATACTCAGCTCTAATATTAATAAATAATGGAAATATGACTTTTAGAAAAAAAAATGCTATCTTCTTTCCTATTGCTCGTCTTTTTTTACCCGTTTTTTAATGAGCCCACTAACATCCGTGTGACATAAAAAATGTCAATGGTATTATAATTGTTTATAAGCTAAAAAGCCAGTCCCATTTCAAACTGTTTTTTAATAAGAGATTTAATAAAATGTGGCAAATTTAGTGCATTTTATTAACTCATTAACTGCCACAATTATAAGTAGTTATAGGCGATCGGTTTACCCCTCAAAAGACGCTTAGAAACAGAATATACCTACTAAAATTTTTTTTGCATTTCTAATGCACCAAACTTTTTTTATTCGATTCTATATATTTTTCCAAGATGAAATGTATTTTTTTTTTAAATATTTACAAGTGGGCCGGCAATTGTTATTAACAAATAACTTATTTTTATATCAGAATCAATTTTTTGTATCTCATCAAAATAAACACTTTTTCTCTCTTGATAATTTTTTGTTTCCTTTGGAGTTATTTGCATTTTTTTGTTGAAAAAATGCCTTAATTAGTGATTTTTGGGATTTTTTTTTTAAAACTACTAAATGAATTGCAATTCTACAAATAGCTTTATAATCTTTAAACCGTCGAGTACAAGTTAGAATATTTTGACAAGGATAACTTTTTTCTATCTTGCTAAAAACGTGGACCCAAATATTTCGAATAGCAGTCTACCGCTAAGTGTGTACAGCGGTTGTGGCGATACACGCGTGCGGCGCGTAGAAATGTTTGTTTAGATTTAAAAAATTAATTTAATACAAATATTACGTGCAATTTATTAAAAAAAAAGATATTTATAATTATTTTTATATAGACATATTATAATTAAAACAATTAAAATTAATTTTTTACAATGCAATACAATAATGTAATTTTTCTTTTAATATCAGATAATTGTAAAAATGTTAAAGACGACTTTATTAAAGACATTGAAATCAGCTTATTAGATGGAAATCCTGTTGCTTTTAACGAAAATTTTCAAATTATTGACAATGAAAACGATGTATAAGTAATATTATATTTTTATTTTATTATATTTTTCAATGAAAATTGATTGTATATTGCTTAATGTATTTCACTGTAATAAAACACGTAAGTATACATGTACATACTGCGCAGCATTCTAAATTATAGGAAATACAATTACAATTTTTAGTAGAACATTTTCCGGTACATGAGCAGAAATACTTTTGTAAAACTTTGAAAATAATAATAAAACTTATTTTCAAAGTTCATTTATTCGAGCATTTAACCTCATTTCATTTACTTTTGTAAAATATCTAAACTAGTTTCGCCTTCAAAATAATTAAAATCGAAACAATTATTTTCCATTGTCCGACCATGGGTTAATGGATCAAGAGATGAAATAATATTGTTTTTTGCTTGAATCCATCCATTTATTTGCCACTTTGCTCTTAAGTAATGTTATAATAATGCTATTTTCGAAGGTGGTAATTTTTCATTAGATGCATTTTTTTAATGCAATATTATATCTTAATTCATTTATGGATTCATGATATTTTTTAAACTTATTTTGAGGGTCATACAGTTTAGATAAAAATAGAGTCAAAACTGTAAGTCCTCCATCTAAAGGTAAAGTAGGCCAATTTCTTAATTTTTCCAATTGACTATCAGTTAATTTCTGCAAAGCTTTATAATCCCTTCTTTTTTCCCATATCATAAAATGAACTTGTGGTATCACAACCTGTTATAGAATGCATTATTAGGATACTGTTGCACATTATTTTTCCAATTTCTTTTGCAATTTAATGTACAGGTATATCGAGAACGATCCACATTTTTTACAATATTTCCTGTGTGAAACCATAAAAGTGGTTTACTTGTAAAATCATGATAATGATATAAAAATAAAATAAATATATCTGTGTCTGGTGATTTAACAATAATTTGAATTTTTTTTATCCAAATGCTGCTGTTGTAATTTAAATGTAGAGCACCAGCACCTCAACCGTTGTACACGCTTAGCGGGATACTCTCGAAAGGCATATTCGAAATATTTGGGTCCACGTTTTTAGCGAGATAGAAACCATTTATCCTTGTCAAAATATTCCAACTTATACTCGACGGTTTAAAGATTATAGAGCTATTTGTAAAATTGGAATTTTTTTAGTAGTTTTTGAGAAAAAAAATCCCAAAAATCACCAATTAAGGCATTTTTTTCAACAAAAAAATGCAAATAACTTGAAAAGGAAGCATTTTTCGAAAAATTATCAGGAGAGAAAAAGTGTTTATTTTAACGAGATACACCTAAGAAAATTGATTCCGAAACAATTCGGTGAAATTACTTTTTTGTATAAGTTATTTGTTAATAACAATTGCCGGCCCATTTGCAAAAATTAAAAAAAAAATAACATTTCATCTTGGAAAAATATATAGAATCGAATAAAAAGGTTTAGTGCATTAGAAATGCAAAAAGAATTTTAGTAGGTTGATGCTCTGCTTATAGGGGTAAACCGCTCGCCTATTATATTACATGCCTTTTTGCAAAAAAAAAACAAAGTTATTAACATTTATAAATTATTTACTGCAAAATTAAGGATTCTTTGCAAATATCTTAGTGAATTCTTTATGTATTTTAATTTGTAAACATATTACAGAACATTTTAAGATTTACAATTTTTATTTGAACTATTTTTCTCCGAACTGCATAAGAAACGTTTTAAAGACAAATGACTTTAGAATAATTGAAGCTGCAAATCAATTTCGTCAGAAAAATATGATTTTTTGGCGAATTCGGTTTTCCTTATTAAAACGATACCGAATGTGTATTGAAGAAAATTGTGGTTATTTGAACATTTATTGTAATATCATATTTTTAGAGGTTATAGACATTTTTTGTACTTGTTAATTCATTTAAGCCATTTATTTAGTTGCACGTAATTTTATAAAGGTTAATAAAAAGGGCCGTAACTCAATAAAAACTGTTTTTTTTTTAAGTGATAGAAAGCAAAAAAAATTTAAAATAATGTGTTAAACTAATGATGTCACAAAATACTTTTGATTGGAACTTAGGGGAACGTTTGGTAAAAAAATTCAATCAATTTATTTTTGTCCCCGGAATGCGTGATTTAATTTATGACATACCTTTTTTAAACACCCTGTATATTACAAACTGTTTAACTATTCTCTGTAGGTTATTAATAATATCAGCCATTAATACGGTATCGTTCGCATATCTCAAATTATTTAATATAGATTGCGTTTACTATGACTCCAGACCTGTCGTGGTCTTGTGTAAAAGTTAAACAATAAGAGAGAAAGAATGCGCCCCTGCCTTAGCCCTAGAATAAGGATAAATATATGCTTTTATTAAAAAAAATTAGAGGAACAATTTTTTTGATCTATTTTCTAACATTTATTACGAAGATGCCGACTTTCTGAGCGCTTTATATGAAAATACGTAACTTCGACAAAGCAAAAACCAAATAATAAACTTACCCATAACATTATGCGCCGTCGACGTATTCATTCCAGAATTTTTCAGAATTTCAATGAGCTCGAAACGAAAGGCAGATATGTCCTGTTTTATCTCGTTGACATCGTCCTCAGTGACGCCCTGGTTTTCCGCCTTCCTTTGTTCAACCGTCACATATCTTCGTACTAAATTCCGCATAATACCCTGTCAACACCAAACAATATCAGTGTGTACAAAAACTATTTGTTTTCGTTTGCACGTTAGAATGTCATTTAAAAAGTTTAAGGAATTCTAAAGAGTTGTTTGTCTGTCAAAAGTAAACAACTAGGTTTCCAAATAAAACGGATCAACAAAAAAGAAATCTGAGTATTTATTTACAGATATACTAGCTACGTTTGAGCTTGTAATCACTTCGGTATTTCAGTTATAAAAAGATTTTTTATTGTGGGAAATTTTTAATAGTAAAACTTTGTGAAAGAAAACAGTCAACATTGTATTATTAAGTATTAGTACATATTTATGCTTATGTTATTATATCTTTACTATTTTAAGTATTAAATTAGAGAGAAATTACGGAATAATCTACGAAGGAAATAAGAAAAACAAAAAAATAACCTCAGTCTATAAATTCAGTACCCATTCAGTTCATTTTCTTGAATAACGATGGAAAAATAATAGACCATTGTAGTGGCGTGGAAAAAATAATTTACTGGTAGGTCAAAAAAAAAAAAAACAGGGACGACCGATGCAGTGCATAAAATTGAATGTGGTTATAAACGAAACCAGTTTGCGCTTCTATTACAAGGTGACGAATCTTGGTCAGAAAACGATGTGTAATCGACATTATTTGTTTGCCAAATTTTGCAGGAAGTAAACGGAGACTCAAATAGTAGATCAATACCGAGTAACTGTAAGAGATAATCTTATATCAGAGACTAGACACGAAATCATCAGAAACGAAGTCGAATGAAAGATTCATAACCAATAGGTAGTTGTAGATTAAATTCTTAATAAAATCTCTGTGAAGACACCGGAGGAACGACAAGACTACGTAAGAATCGGGAATAGAGTAAACAAAGAAATAGATAACATTAAAAACCGAACACTGGGAGAAATTTACCAAAGATATGGAATACGACCGCTATGGATCTTAGAAAAAGGTGTGGGAAGATGATAAGGAGACAAAAAACAGAAATGAATGAATTTGTACGCACAGATAACATTACAGAGGAAAAATAGACTGAGCATTTCACAAAATTGGAGAGGGGAAGAAGATAACAGAGAAATAATCACTAACGAAACTCACGATAGAGTACTAATATCAGAAAAAGAGCTACAAGAACGAATAAAAAAATTAAAATACAGAAAAGCACTTGGTCCTGATAGATAAACAATGAAGTGCTAAAATATGGAGGAACATACACTACGCAAATGGCTCCTAAAATTGTTCGTTGATATAATAAATACCGTAGTAGTACCAGTGGGATGGAAGGAAAGTCTCCTGCTACCGATACTTAAAAAGGGAGACTCAAGAAATCCTGAAAATCATAAAGGCATCAGTCTGATGAATAGTACATTAAAATTGTTAACGGCAGTCATAACAGATCAAATCGAGGAAAAAGCGAACATGGCAGGTGAACAAACACTGCTTCCGGAAGAACCGCAGCACAATAGACAGAATTTTTATTACCAGACAAATAATAGAGAAGTCTATTGAATATGGAAAACCAGCATACATATGATTTGTAGATTTAAAAAGTGCTTCTGACAGGGTGAAGCAAAATGACATCTTAAATTTATTACAAGCTGAACAAATAGACCATCAGATAATAAGGACACTTGAAAATGAAATGAAATTAACAAGAACAACAAGACCAGAGTTATAATGCCAACAGGAGAAATAGAATGCATAGAACTAAAAGGAGGAATCCGCCAAGGAGACTCGCTCAGCCCATTGTTATTGAATATAGTGATGAATCAAATAATTCACGAAGTAAGAAAACGACACGGATACCACATGGGAGCGCATAAAATCACGATACTATGCTATGCTATGCACGATACAAAAAACAACAATAGATGACTGATGAAATCCTGGAATTAATGGAGCAGAGAAGGAAACTGAAAGGTAACAAGACAGAATATAAGGAAAAACAGAAACTAATTAAACAAAAAACAAAGGTGGCTAAAGAAAAATGGATGGAGGATAAATGTAAGGAATTAGAAAAGTTGAATAAAAAACATGATACGTTTAATATGTTTAAAAAAGTTAGAGAAGTAGCTGGTCTTATCGTAAGAAAACTCCACATACTATAACCGATTCGTCGGGAAAAATGATAATAGACGAACATGAAATTCGAACAACCTGGTGTAATTATATAAGTGACCTGTATAATGATGATAGACCCGAAGAACCGGAGACTGCATGCTATAAAGTTAGCAAAGAACAAGAAAGCCGTTGGCCCTGATAACATACCGACAGAGATGTTTAAATCTTATAAATGAGGAGAACATTGGAATACTGGTCAAACTTTTCAATGATGTTTATTCGACTGGTGATATCCCTGAAGATTGGTTAAAGTCCGAATTCATAACACTACCAAAAAAACAACGTCCGAAAAACTGTAGAAAATATTTCTACGCATCATCCACAGTAGAATCAGAGATAAATGTAAAGAAGATCAGGATGAAACACAATTTGGCTTCAGAAATGGACTGGGAACTCGGGACGCCCTCTTTGCACTAAATGTATTACTGCAGAAATGTCGAGATCAAAGGAAAGACGTCTTTGCTGTATTTATTGACTATGAAAAGGCCTTTGATCGAGTACAGCATCACAAATTAATTACAATATTAAAATATAAAGGAGTTGATAGTCAAGACATACGATTCATAGAAAAGTTATACTGGCGTCAAACAGCGACAGCTTGCATAAACGGAAAATCAACAGAAATATGTAAAATACAAAAAGGTGTCAGACAGGGTTGTATACTATCCCCACTGTTATTAAATTTATATTCAGATAGAATATTTAAAGAAGCGCTGCATAATTTGGAATGGGGCGTGAAAGTTAATGGAATTCTGATAAATACAATCAGATATGCAGACGATACAGTTATTTTAAGTGATGACATGAATGGATTACAACGCCTTTTAAATGCCATTGATAAAGTAGGAAGAGAGTTTGGTCTAAACATAAACTGTTCAAAAACAAAACACATGGTGTTTAGCCGTTTAACACATCAAAATGCACGATTATATGTTGATGGTCATATAATTCAAAGAGTGTCCAGTTTTAAATATCTTGGTTGCCATATTACTGAACAACTAAATCTAGATTAAGAGATAAAATGTAGAATCGAGATAGCCCGCACGAAATTTTTAAAAATGAGGTCATTCTTCTGTAATGTAAAACTTGCAACTTCAACTTCGAAAGCGCATGGTTTAAATGCTACATTTGGTCAGTCCTCTAATACGGTGTCGAAGCATGGACATTAAAAATATCCACGATTAATCGTCTGGAGGTCTTTGAGATGTGGCTGCACAGACGTATACTAAAAATTCCATGGACGGTTATGCTGACAAATGTGGCAGTCCTTGAAAGAGAAAATGCTGCTCGCGAGCTCGATAACATCAAATGTAGAAAGATGGCCTATTTTGGACACGTAGTAAGGAGAGACCGATATAATATTCTTCAACTTATTATGATGGGTAAAATCGAAGGACGCAGAGGAATTGGTAGAAAGCAGGCCTCTTGGTTGAAGAATATCAGGGAGTGGACAGGAATAAATAAAGCTGAGAAACTATTTAGAATAGCTTGAGACAGAAAAAGTTTCGCCATGTTAATCGCCAACGTCAAGGGGACTTGATAGGGCACGTTAAGAAGAAGAATGCTATGCCGATAATGCAGTACTAATTGCTGATAACGAAGATGACCTACAAAGACAGCTCCACACCTTCAATATTACAGCAAACAAACGTAATATAAAAATATCAGTAGAAAAAACTAAATGTATAGTCATCACTAAAGTGCAGCGTAGATGCAAACTAGAAATAGACGGCAAAATTGTAGAACAAGTAACGAAATTCAATTACCTAGGAGTAGAGATCACTAGTGACAGAAATATAAGAATAGAAACTACAAGGCAAGCATCAAATGCGGCAAGAATAAGTGGTTACCTCCGAGAAACCATATGGAGAAACAAATATCTGACCACGGAAAGCACAATGAAAGTGTACAGTAAGACCAATCCTAACATATGCAGCGGAGACAGGGACCGATACAAGAAAGACGAAACAACAAATAACAAGAAATAGCAACAAACAATATCGAAATGAAAGTATTTCAATTGTTTCATAATTGCCTTGTGGCGATTTCCACGTGTAATCTTCGAGCTGGTATTATCTAGATGTACAGAAATGAAAACAAGAAAATTGTCGCAACCGACCCGGGTTTCCCCTACAAAGAACATGTGTAGATATCGCAACAGGCATAACGAGCGATATTCATAATATTTGGTATTCAATGACAATTTACGAGAATGGCAATAATATCGGATGAGCATAAAAAGCCTTATTTATGAATTTATTGAAAAAAAGTCTTGTTTTTGTAAAAATGAAATGGTTAAAATTATTTCTAGAAATAGAGAGGAAAATTTCTATCTAAATACATTAAAACGGGACCTTGATAAATCTATTCCTTTTTGATGAACACTGTTATTCAATAACCACAGATTAAACTATGCTCCCCTGGGAATATACTGTTACCTCATCAGTTTTTTGGACATGATTCCATTTATTAATTAAATCCATTATCGATATCTTTCATTAAAAAAGTAATTTTGTGCGCAACTTATAAATTACAATGAAATAAAGTTTTTAATGAAAAGCCCATTTATTCATAGTTCATATTTTAATATATTTAACAATAAATTTATAATTTATTGCTCTATATATTTTGTTCTAATTAGTAAGTTTCTACGAATATATTGAACATACGAAAATATATTTCATTTCTTTCAACAATATAAATATATATTTCAGACTCTAAAAAATCAAAAACCATTTTTAAATAATAAATAATACTTTATTTGGTTCATTATAATTTATTACAAAACAATAATCAATTTTTAAGGTTATAATCGATTGTACTATAGTTCTTTGTTTGCAATTACAAATACAAATTCATATGTGGACAT